GGCGGGGCGGTCCCGGCGCCTCCGGGCGCGGTTAACGGGAGGGGGGAGGGCGGGCTCGCAGAGACCGGGGGGCGGCACCCGGGGGTCCCCACGGCCCAGGGGGTCCCCACAGCTCCTCCCGGGAGTCTCCACAGCCCCAGGGAACTCCAGAGCCCCAGAGGTCCCCACTCATCTCTAGGGTCCCCACAGCCCCTGAGGTCCCTGCTCCTCCGGGGGGTCCCCGCAGCCCCAGGGAGCCCCGGGGGTCCCCACTCCTCCCGGGGTTCCCCACAGCCCTGGCAGTCCCCCCGGGCCCCCTGTGCTGACTGTGGGGGCCGGAGCAGCCCCAGGACAGGACCCTTTGGGACCCGGGAGGTGCTGCAGTCCTGGGGTGACCCGCGAGGGGTGCCCAGCGAGGGGTCGGTGCTGCCGGCTCCCCTGAGCCCCCCGCTGTCCCCCCAGGGGGTGCCCCCCGACGTGTCGTTCGAAGAGGTGGCCATTTACTTCTCCCCCGAGGAGTGGGCAGAGCTCCTGCCCTGGCAGCGGGCGCTGTACCGAGAGGTCATGGCTGACAACTACGACCTGGTGGCCAGTCTGGGTGAGGGGCCGGGGGGGCACCGGGCTGGGGGTGTCACCAGGCTGGGGGCATGGAGATGGGGGTGTCACAGGGCTGGGGGCATGGCTGGAGGCTGAACCGGGGGTCCAGAGGCTCGGCCGGGGGGCAGAGGCTGAGGTGAGGGTCCACAGCCTCAGCCAGGGGTCCGGGGGCTCGGCAGGAGTCCAGGGCTTGGCTGGGGGTCTGGAGGCTGAGCCGGGGGCCCAGGGGCTCAGCTGGGGGTTCAGAGGCTCAGCTGGGGTCTGGGGGCTTGGTCAGGGATCTGGGGGCTGAGCCAGGGGTCTGCAGCCCAAGCCCCCTGGCAGAGCCCGACCTGCCATCTCTCGATGGGAACAGGGCCGCGAGTGCATCCGCGGGTGTGAGGAATAAAGGCACCAGATCCCCCGGCCCTGCTGCCCCACAGCCCCCCATCCACTGCCCTGGCCCCACAGCCCCCACAGCCCCCACAGCTCCCAGGGCAGCCCCCGGCCTGGTGGTGGTGACAGTCCCCCAGTGACACTCACCGGGCATTTTGGGGGGCACTGAGGGGTCTCTTTCCTGCCCAGGCTCCGTGTCCAAGTTCACTGACATGAAGGAGGAGTCCCCCGGGGATGTCCCCTGTGCTGGGGGGGACAGCAGGACTTCTGACGCCTCCAGCACCGGTGAGTGACTGGGGACATCCCGTGGGGACGTCCTGGGCTGTCACTGTGCCGAGAGGGGCTGGCCGGGGCCAGAGCCCCTGTCTGACACTCCCCTGGACTGGGTGGGAGTCCCTCCCAGCCCCCCGGGTGTCACAGGGGTGGGTGGGGGGCCGACGGTGGGTCTGGGACCCCCTGTGGTGACACCCTTTTCCCCACAGTTGCCCAGGACGGTTCTGCCAGTGAGGATGATGACGGGGGACACTGGGAATTGGGGTTCGGTGCCCCCCGCTCCGGCTGGAGCGACACCACCCCGGGGGGCTGTGCCGGGGACCCCCCTCGGGAGGAGCCGGGGCCGCCCCCGTGTGACGGGCTGGGGCTGAGCTGCGGGGCCGAGCTGGGGGGTGCCCGGGCCGAGCCCCCCGCCCCGGGCCCGCCGTTCGTGTGCGGGACCTGCGGCAAAGCCTTCCGGCACCGCCGCAACCTCCTCACGCACAAGAGGCTGCGCGGGGGGAACCGGGCCCGGCACGGCTGCCCCGAGTGCGGCCGCGCCTTCTGCCTGCGCGGGGACCTGCTGCGGCACCGCGGCTCGCACCGGGGGCGGCCCGGCTGCCCCCAGTGCCCCCAGTGCCCCCAGTGCCCCCAGCGCCCCCAGCGCCCCCAGTGCCCCCAGCGCCCCGCGGGCGCGGCGGGGCCGTGCGAGGAGCGGCCCTTCGTGTGCGGGCGCTGCGGGCGCGGCTTCGCCTGGCGGGAGAGCCTGGAGCTGCACGTGCGGGCCCACCCGCCCCCCGAGCGCGCCCACCCCTGCCCCGAGTGCGGCCGCGCCTTCCGCAGCCGCGGGCACCTCCGGCTGCACCGCCGGGCTCACTCCGGGCACCGGCCCTTCCCCTGCGCCCGCTGCGGCCGCGCCTTCGCCTCGCAGGCCAACCTGAGCACCCACCGACGGCTGCGCCGCCGCTGCCGCGACCCCCGAGCACAGGGGAGCGGGGACCCCCAGGGGGAGAGGGACCCCCAGGGGAGCAGGGACCCCCAGGGGGAGAGGGACCCCCAGGGGGAGAGGGACCCCCACAAGGATGGGAACAGGGACCCCCAGGGGGAGAGGGACCCCCACGGGGATGGGAACAGGGACCCCCAGGGGGAGAGGGACCCCCACGGGGATGGGAACAGGGACCACCCTGGGGATGGGAATAGGGACCCCCAAGGGGAGAGGGACTCTCTCAGGGATGGAAACAGGGACCCCTCTGGGGAGAGGGACCCCCACGGGGATGGGAACGGAGACCCCCAGAGGGAGAGGGACCCCCCCAGGGATGGGAACAGGGACCACCTCGAGGATGGGAATAGGGACCCCCAGGGGGAGAGGGACCCCCGTGGGGATGGGAATGGAGACCCTCGTGGGGATGGGAACAGGGACCCCTCCAGGAATGGGAACAGGGACCCCCAGGGGGAGAGGGACCCCCACGGGGAGAGGGACCCCCACGGGGATGGGAAAAGGGACTCTCACGGGGATGGGAAGAGGGACTCCCCTAGGGAGGAGAACAGGGACCCCTGCGAGGAGAGGGAGCCCCACAGGGATGGGAACAAGGACCCCGTCAGGGATGGGAACAGGGAGAGGGACCCTCCCAGAGAGGGGAACGGGGACCCCCAGGGGGAGAAGGACCCCCACAGGGATGGGAACAGGGACCCCTCTGGGGAGAGGGAGCCCGACGGGGATGGGAACAGGGACCCCCAGGGGGACGGGGACACCCACAGAGAGAGGGACTCCCTTGGGGACCAGGTCACCCGTGGGGACAGGGATCGTCAGGGGGACAAGGACCCCCTTGGGGATGGTGATGCCTGTGGGGTCAGGGACCCCCTTGGGAACGGGGACCTCCTCAGAGACAAGGATACCCTCAGGGATTGGGACCCCCTCGGGGATGGGGACACCTTCAGGGACAGGGGCACCCTCGGGGATGGGAACCCCCTCGGGGCCGGGGCTGACCCAGGGGGTGACCAGCAGTACCCACAGGATGGGATTGTCCCAGTGCTCCCATGAACGTGATGCCAGTGCCACGGCCCATCCCGGACACCCCGGAACTGTGGGCACCTGGGGACCCCTGAAACCACCTGAGGGGCTTCTCCGTGTCCCTTTGGACCTCAGGGATCCCCCTGGGATGTGTCTCTGCGTCCCTTTGGACCTCAGGGATCCCCCTGGGATGTGTCTCTGCGTCCCTTTGGACCTCAGGGATCCCCCTGGGATGTGTCTCTGCGTCCCTTTGGACCTCAGGGATCCCCCTGGGATGTGTCTCTGCGTCCCTTTGGACCTCAGGGATCCCCCTGGGATGTGTCTCTGCGTCCCTTTGGACCTCAGGGATCCCCCTGGGATGTGTCTCTGCGTCCCTTTGGACCTCAGGGATCCCCCTGGGATGTGTCTCCATGTCCCTTTGGACCTCAGGGATCCCCCTGGGATGTGTCTCTGTGTCCCTTTGGACCTCAGGGATCCCCCTGGGATGTGTCTCCATGTCCCTTTGGACCTCAGGGATCCCCCTGGGATGTGTCCCTACGTCTCTTTGGACACGGAGACACATCCCAGAGGGATATATCAAGATATATCAAGAGGTATCTGGACCTTGATATATCTTCAGACTTCGGAAATCCCTCTGGGATGTGTCTCCATGTTCCCTTTGGATTCTGAAGTATCTTCAGACCTTGGAAAATCCCTCTGGGATGTGTCTCCGTGTTCCCTTCAGGCCTTGAAGTACCTTCAGACTCTGAAATGTCTCTCCAGGGTGCATCCCACTTCTTCAAGACCTCGGAAAATCCCTCTAGGGTGTGTCTGCATGTTCCCTTTGGATTCTGAAGTATCTTCAGGCCTTGGAAAATCCCCCTGGGATGTGTCTCCATGTTCCCTTTGGCCACTGAAGTGCCTCCAGACCTCGGAATGTCCCTCCAGGGCACTTCCCAGTCCTCCCAGTCCCACCAGTGCCCTGCCCCAGGTCTGTGTTTAAAGCCAGGAGTCTCTTTATGTCTGTTTGTTCTGATTATTGTCGTTTATTTATTCTTTTCTATTTTTCTATTTTATTAAATTCTATTTAGGTTATTCCAGCTGTTCTTCTACTTATTCTAGTTCTTCTCCTCGTGTTCCTTCCCGCTCCCTCCGGACCCACCGGCACCTACTGGGACGGAGCCTCCCAGTCCTGGGGGTGCTGTGACAGTGGGAGCCACCACGAGTGCCCCCAGTGCCCCCCCCCAAATAAATAACCCCCAAAATTGGGGGGTTCATGTAGAAACGAGTAAGAAATGCAAATGAGGCTCAGGGGGTGGTTTGGGGGCACCCACGGACCTGGGGGGGCACTTGCAGCCCCACAGCCACCCCCAGTGCAGCCCAGTACACATGGGGCAGCCCCAGTATGGCCCAGTACGGCCCAGTTCACACAGACCAGCCCCAGTACAGCCCAGTACGGCCCAGTTCACACGGACCAGCCCCAGTACAGCCCAGTACGGCCCAGTTCACACAGACCAGCCCCAGTACAGCCCAGTACGGCCCAGTTCACATGAACCAGCCCCAGTACGGCCCAGTCCCTACAGGGCAACCCCAGAGCCACTCCCAGCACGGCCCAGTTCACACGAACCAGCCCCAGTACAGCCCAATTCACACAGACCAGCCCCAGTACAGCCCAGTACAGCCCAATTCACACAGACCAGCCCCAGTACAGCCCAGCACGGCCCAGTTCACACAGACCAGCCCCAGTACAGCCCAGCACGGCCCAGTTCACACAGACCAGCCCCAGTACAGCCCAATTCACACGGACCAGCCCCAGTACAGCCCAGTACGGCCCAGTTCACACGGACCAGCCCCNGACCAGCCCCAGTACAGCCCAGTACGGCCCAGTTCACACGGACCAGCCCCGCAGTCATTCCCAGTATGGGAATTTCCCTCCACTCCCAGTAAGCCGGAGGCTGCTCTGCACTGGGAGCACTGGGAGTGCCCCCCAAGCTGGATGTCACCGAGCAGCAGGACAGATGGTGACATTCCCACAGGAACGGGGACAGCACCCCCCCCACTCCATCTGCCCACGGAGCCGGGAAGGAGGATGGGAATGCACTGGGGAAACTGGGACACCTCGGAATCGGGGAATTACTGAGGTGGGAAAACCGCAGGAGACCCCCCTGAGTCTGCCTGGCCCGGAGGCCACCACTGCCCCTGTCCCCAAGTGCCACCACTGCCCCTGTCCCCAAGTGCCACCACTGCCCCTGTCCCCAAGTGCCACCACTGACCGTGTCCCCATGGCTGTTGAGCCTCCCAGGGCTGGACAACCCTTTCCAGGAGGAATATTCCCAAAATGTTCCCAAGATCCCACCCACAACCCACCCCCCTGTGCCACTCGAGGCTGTTCCCAGCGTTCCCAGCCTGGGAATGTCACCCTGTCACCTCCCTGCCACCCCCGGCTGTGACAACGCCACGGCCCCGGGGGCTTTTTTGGGATGTCCCAGTTCAACGTGCCGGGAGCACACGTGGAGGATCCTCCGGAATCCAGGTCGGGAGGACGGGACACGGCGAGGGAGGTGCTGGGCCACGAGTCCTTTGTGCTCCAGGACTCAAATAACCAGGAAAAATCCCAACTTTCCCTCTTCGGTTTTTGCCTTTCAGGTGAAATCATGAGGCTGGGAGGCGTTTTTCCAATTAAATTCCTGAAATCAGAGCAGAGCTGGGAGCACGGAGGGGGGTTGGGATGCTGAGGTGTCCGTCACCCTCCTCCAACACCCGTGAGGATGCGGATTTTTGGGACTAAACCTCCTTAGTTTTCCATGCCTGGAACTGAGCTCTGGGGGGATGGGGGGTGTGGATGTGGCTCATCCCGGGACCTGCAGAGCCTTTGGCACCCGGAGGGCCTCAGGCTGCTGGAAGTGATGGCACTGAGGTCCATAAGGGACATTTCCTCCCGTTTTTCCACATCCTCAGGGGTCACACGGTGCCTCTGCCCCCACAGCAGCTTTCCCAAGGGAAATACAATTCCCGGGATGCTGGAATTCCACTGGCCCAGGCCTGTTGAGCCCTGGAACCACCCCAGGGCTGGGAAGGGCCCATCTCTCCCCGTGGGTCGGTCCAGACTGTGCTGGAACAGGGGGAGGCTCCGGAATCCCTGTGGGACATCGGTGACATCATCGAGTCAGCAGAGCTGAAGGCTTTGAGAAATTGGAAAAAACAACCCAAATCCCACTAAGAGCAGGGTTTTCCATAGGACAGAGTAAAGGGACCTGCAGAGGAGATCCAGTTTTTAGGAATGAAATGGCAGGATGGGTGTGGTGAGATCCCAACGGATCCCCACCAAGTGACAAGAAGGAAACACGAGGATTTTGGGACCCTGTGGGATTTTGGAGCGTGCACATTCCCGGTTCCAGCCTGGTTGTTCCCCCCCCTTCCCAATGGACCCTCAGCAAGTTCTGTGCAATTCCAGCAGGAGATTTTCCACACTGTCCTTGGGCCACTCCAGACAGGGACAATGGTCCTTCCTCAGCTCTGGCACGAAGCACCGGGACACTCCAGCTCAGCTTCCGGAGTCAGGGATGGAGAGGATCCGAAACCCACAACGTTCCAGCTGGAAAAGAGATCCCGGAGGCTCGTGAAGGAGGTGGCTGGAACCGAATCCAGCTGCTCCTGCTGTCCCTGCTGGGGAGGGTGTTCACAGGGAGGGTCTCCGTGGCCACAAAGAGCTCGGAGAGGAACCCCCGTCATCCAGGAACCTTGGAAGTGACCGTGGAGTGGCCAGAAGGCCCAGACTTTGGAATGGCACCGGAGCAGGAGGTGGCACGTGCTGAAGGGGCCTCTCAACAGCCTGAATTAC